ACTAGACCAGGTTGCTCAAAGCCCCGACCAACCTGGCCTTGATTGTCCCACTTAAGTGATGGAGCTGTTGCACACACTTGGCGTGAAGTATCTGTGTGCTGTTATCCCAAGGAGTTCTGCTTGCTCTGGAAGCTGCTGCTTGTGCTCACTGTCTGGATGATTAGATAAAACCATTTTAAAGGAATTTTGGTTTTAAAGCGGTTGATTTGAGTTGCTGAAGTATTCTAAGCCACGTGTTTGCTATGCCACATGTTTCCAAGTCCTCCTTTGTCTGCTCTTTGGTCCAGTTTAAATTTGATCTTCCTGGATTTAAGCAACATCCCTCATTTGGAACAGAAGACTTCCTCACGCTTCTGTTGAAATCATTAATAGCTTTGTTTTTGGCTTCTGTGAATTTCCATAACAGCTCCATAATGCAGGCAGTAATACTTCCTCAGAGCAGCACGCTCACTGCTGCTCAGATTGTTCTAGCTTTTCCATTATACTTTTGGTGGTGAATGATTTTTTCAGATCTTAAAAAAGCCCCACCCCACAAGGACTCTCTTGGGCTGCTGTATAGAAACCTCTGTTAGCTGTCAGACAATGAAATAGCAGGCATAGCATCCCCAGAGAAACGTGCAAACTTCAGAGGGACATGAGAAAAATTAATCGGCAAAACAAAGATTATCCATACCAAAGGAAAATTTTAAAACCCCACAAAAACAACCCTGTAGCTGGTTTACAAGTTCTTCTGGAAGAACTCACTGGTTTGGGCTAATCACAGTTGTGAACAGCATAATAGCACTCTTTGTTCTCTTGTTGTTAGTTTCTTTATCATGTGTTGTGTGTGAATTTTTAGCAGAAGATGACATGTAAGTACCAGTTCACAAAATCAGGAGACTCAGTTTCTGTATTGAATTATTCTTTAGGGAAGTTCCACTTGATTTCAAAGTTGGGAAGAGTAGAGAAGAGTGTAGAAGCCCACTGTGGAGCTGTGCTTGCAGGAAGGTGGAATTACGAAGGAACAGCACTGGTTACAGGTAAGTGGGAAACTTAAAGTGATGAAGTGTTTTGAAAACGAAAATAACTGAAGATCTCTTTCAAAATAAAGCCTTTTGTTTTTTTTAATATGCAAAGATGCCATGCCATGAAGAAATGTAAGGCTACTGAAAGATAGTATTAAACAAAATCTATGATAAATAAATACTTTCAATAAAATGTGTAGAATGTAACTACTTGATTCTGTGGACTAAATACAGCAGAATATTTTGAAAAATAATTTAATCCTCAATATATGTTTCAAAGCTGTAATCCTAAATTTCATAGTTTATATTGTACTTACATTGAATTTAAATTAATAAAACTGAGTCTATTAATTGTTTGCACTTGCTAGAACACAGGAAATGGAAACAAAATATCAACACTATAAATGAAGTTTGTTATAAGTTACTTTGCCTTCATTATCACTGGGGTTCTTATCACCTTGTTTAATAGAGTTTAGTTTTGCGTTATTTGTTTAATGCTGTGTTAGAAGAATGTTGTCTATTTTAACAGAAGATCTAGCAAAAACATTTATCTTTTATAGTGATCTTATTTATTAGATGCTATCCTATTTCATTGAAAGTAAATGTTTTTAGTGTCAGAGTGCTTAGATGGTTTTGTGAATGTTTGCTTTGCTTTTTTTTCTTACCTGTTACAAAAAAAAGGTTGCTAAGTTGGTACATTTGTATCCCTGCCCAAGATGTTTGGGATTTTGGAGCCAACACAGTTTACTGAGTCCTCGTGAGCATCTTGAATGTTCCTGTGCTTCTCTTTCTTAATTATCAGGAGTAATGTAGATCCAGCTGGAGTCTAACTCTTCTCTGTCAAGGCTGGGAGAGCAGTCTCCCAGTGTCTGCATCTCTACATGTCTCTTTGTCAAAAATCGTTTGGTAATTATTTGCTCTGGGCATTTTTCTCAAAAACTTCTATCTGGATATTAAGGGGAAGCCAATTAAATTTCCTGTGATAGACTTCTCCTGTATGGGATTTCTGTTGGTGTCAGAATTTTCTGCAGCCTCCTGTTGATTTAGCACAGCTGATTTCTTGGGACAAATTCCAACCCAGTCCAGAAGTACTGAAGATAATTTTGGATCTGCTTGTTTCCAGACTCAGTCTGACTCTAAAATGCTGCTTCAGGGAACTCTGTCTGGCATGTTCCTGTGAAATCCCAAAGGGATAGAAATATTGTTCTTTTTAAAGAGAAATTTGCCTCAGGAACTTCTCCAAAGAAAAAGTCAGAATTGTCTTTTCAATTTTTTTTTTTTTTTTGAAAGACTGCATGACACTTAGGGGCAGTGTGGGAACTTATCCCATATCCAAACAGTGGACTCTGAGATCAACTACTCTTACACCACAACTATACTTTGAGGAAGCGTTGACGATACTCTGTCAGTTGAAATATTCTTTATGGCTCTAATTTAACAGTATAAAATGTGCACAAGTAAGATTTAATTGAGGTTTGTTTGCTTGGTTTGGTTTGGTTTTTTTTTCACTTTTTAAACACTTAAAAGCTCTTATCAGCCAGGTATGAACCCAAAATCTGGTAAGTAAATCACCTTGGAATGGAAGAATGGCATTAAGCTCTAGGTGCTCATTTTTGCTCATTAATTGAATCTGGGAGTTCTAAATGAAGGCCCAGAGCTGCACATTTTAGGTACAACTGCACCCTAGGAAGTCTGTGGTCCTTGTGCTGTGCTATGTAGTTTAAGAACTTTATCTTCAATGAGTAAACTGGGTTTCTTGGTAACACGCAGTTACATTATAAAATTTAAGCCTTCCAAATGGAGCGTTCGGTTATCTTCAGTTTCACCATTTATCAGCCGTGAAGGCTCCAGTTTAATACATAAAATCTGCTCCTACTCTCGTTGGACTCCTCTGAGACTTATTTAATCAGCCTCTGGGCCATTGAACTGTAATGAGATGAAAAATATTAGCAATGCTAAATAGAAACTACAGAACTTGGGATCCTTAAATAGTGGTGGACTTTCTCTTCCCAGGAGCTGCTTCAGATAAGAACACTATTGGGATTTTCAGGAGAGGAAGAGACTTGTTGATAATAGCAGAACAGTCTTAATTTTTTTCCTTAATATACTATTTGCATGTTAGGAGGGCTACATAATCAGTATTTACCTGTAAAAAGATTTGGACTTATTTTAACTCTAGTGTTCCCTAGCTAAATACAAGTGCCATGTTTGTTAGACTTACTCTTGCATTTAAGTTGATGATTTCTGTGATAACTTTACAGTTGGTGAAGATGGCCAAGTGAAAATCTGGTCTAAAAGTGGAATGCTGAGATCCACTTTAGCTCAGCAAGGTAAGGTTGATTTTCTTAAAATTCCATTAGAAATTTTTAATTTGGGGTATTATGAAATATATTGAAATACCAGACCCTAAATCTGGCACTAATGGTTCGTTTAAGAATATTAAAGTCTAGATATACTTAACTAAAATTAAACATAAATCATAGTTGAATACAGTAGGAACTGGATTTTTAATAAGATGATTCTCTTTTCAAAAAAGTAAATTCTTCAAGTTAAAAGTATTATTGCGACATTTTTAGACAGTAGTTTCAGCTCCACCCCAGGGATTCTGGAGAGGTTGAAGAATTAAAAATTTTTAAAAATTCTGGTTTTAATACCATGATACATACTTCTATGGTGAAACTGAAAACAAAACAAAACAAAACAAAACAAAAAAACCCTAAACAAACAAACAAAAAAACACCTAGCTTTAAAAGCAT